TCTCCCAGATCTGCACCTCTGGAGGGAAAAAAAAAAGACACTTGAAGACTGGACAAATATCTGGCCAAGATAAAATTAAGCATTGATCTTATCGCAGTAATTTCTAAGCATTATTGATTTGATAGCCCAGGGTCTTCCTATGGTAAAACAGCATCAGTAAAGAAATACAGCAACAAAATGTCTCTGTATTATAAGCAAATCTTTCAAACATCAGGGGTAAAATTTATACCAGAGGAGATGAGGAGACTCCACAGAGATGAGGACATCAATAGATTTCTAAGCAACAAGAGAAAAAGAATACAATAGAGACTTGCAGAAGAGCTGTTGAGATGGTCCATTAGCCATTTTCTGCTATCAACTGCTATCAGCCACTGCAGTGGAAAGAGAGAATTTGTTTGGGCTAATTATCAAACAGCCTACAGGAAAAAAAATATTTCCCAGCCTTGGTGGTTGCTTATTATCCCAAAACATGACAGGATACATCCTCTATGTACCTTATTCAAAAAAATGTCTAAAGGACCATGGATGACTGGAGAACCCAGGTAATGCCAGCAGAGCTAGTTCACATTCCCATGCAGATGGCCCTGGAACCATGCTAGCTATGTAATGAACAGTAATGAACATAATTAATAATCCCTGTGTGAACCCACACAAACATGTTGCTTTTCATATTATCCACCTACATATGCTCATGGTTTGGGTGCATAAACCCAAACAGGCGTTTCTGATGTGGATTCCTTGTTGTTTATTATAATTGATTAATTTCCCTGTGAAAGTGACTTTGCTTTGGGTGTAATGAGCATAGAGGGCGAAGAAAACATTATGTTAATAAGGTGTGTTTTTGGTTTTTTTTTTAAATCCAGTTTTGAGTTTCTTGTCTTTCATTATCATTGTCCCGTCCCTTTATTCTTATTGTAAGAAAATGCTAATGAACATCACTTCTGTCAATTATGTCCATTCACTTTGGGTTTTCCTAATCTAAATAGCCATGGATTATTTACTTTTAGCCTTTCTTTGTACAGATATCTTTCTATGCCTTTAATTAGTTACATTAATACTCCTGACTATCTCCTATTTCAACAAGATATTTTACTTTTACTTGAAATAAACAGCCTTCAAGACAAGATCCTTCTGAAGTGCTTCCCATACTCTTTCTTATTCTTGACCAACCAATTTAAGTAAGAGCATGTCATCTACAATGTTTGTCACTTTGCTTTTTCAGCTACTTCTCCAGACAATGAATAAATATATTTCTCCACTCTGGTATCAGCAGATATCCTGTGACACTCTACTGCTAAATTTCTCGCCAGGCTGCTTTTTCTCCCTGCAAAAATGTCCTTTCCCTTATTTCCCTCTCCTTCTTTATCTGTGTCTTATTGTCCAGTTCCCTCTCAACATACAAGCCTATAATTCTGTGCTTTCTTCAGATTTTTTATTCAACAGTAGGCTGTTGAAGTTGACAGGCTACACAGAAATCACTGGGACCATAGACATACTAAATTAACTCCTAATATCAGATGCCTACGACCAGACACCAATATGTGAGAAAGAAGGTGTTAATCTGACCTGGTTAATAACTGGCAAGGCAATTAAGCATTAATATGTTCAATTAATCAGATAAAAATTAGAAAAACTTTAACCAAATGTAACTGAACATTAAGGAACAACACTTCTCTAGATGCATCGATGCTGCTCATTTCTGATGATCTGACTCCTTTGAATACATCTTTCACAAATGCAAGGCACTGCAATTCCCACAAGTCATTAGCTCTTGCACCTCTACTTTTAAAAGCACTAAATGAGTCATTTCCCCAGATTTTCCCTTCCACTTCTAAATTCTTCAGCCTAAACACATTTTGGGCATAAAAAGACTACCTCTTCTTCAACTGCATATGAAAAGAAGATCTGCCAGCCTGAGTAAAACCAAAGCTTCATTTAACCCAGGAGCCAGCCTCTACCTCAAAGGAGAACAGATACTCAGGGAAGCGAGGAAAGGCAAAAGGTTTTTCTGAAACTCATTCCCAGTGAGCTTTTCCTCACAGCTGCCTGAGATGGGAGTGCAATTAAACTTCCACATTTAATAGCACCTCTGAATCTATCAGATAAGGATCTTTTTATTTTCCAGCCTGTTTTTTCCTGTCTGTTGATACATTGGACTCCATGGCGTCCTGTGATAATAAGTTTCAAATTGAATTATTCATTGCATCAAGAAAAACAAAACCAAAAATAACTGCTGGAATCCTGCTACCTGATAATTTAACAGTCCCTCAGCTCCCATATTAAGAGAAAAAATTATTCCCTTTTTGCTTTCTCTCTGCCACGTATGATCTCCATGCTTTCCTGAAACAGTTCCTTCATCACCTCATCAATACATTTAGTATGTCCACATATGGAAGCCATCCATACTTCTTGACCATCTACATGTTTCTATTTACAGTAGGTGTGGTATGCATTTATTTCACTGGACAATGTTGTTTGTTTTTCCTCTATTCCTTCCATAATATAGCAACATAGAGGTGTTTTTTTTTTTTGTTTTTTTTTTTTTAAACTTTCCTTGAATATTGATCCTTTCTGAAAAACAGTGTAGAAACATAAGCTGAGAGTAATAGCAAAATTCAGAATCTATCACTGTGCACATAAATTAAAAGTTATTTATCTCAAACACTTTGCGCTTAATCTATTACTGTAAACATCCAATTATTATCAGCATAATAATACATTCCCAGAGAACATTAAGAAAAAGCTCTTGTGATTAAGGCACCCAAATCATATTGAGATGATAAAGAAACATAGAATGGCTTGGGTTGGAGGGACCTGAAATCCCTCTAGTTCCAATCCCCTGCCATGGGGCAGCATGGATGCTGCCCACTGGATCAGGTTGCCCAGGGCCCCATCCAACCTGGAATTGAATACCTCCAGTGATTGGGAATCCACAGCTTCTCTGGGCAACATAACCCAATTGTACATCAAACTCTCTTGATAATTACAAAATAATAATTTATCTCTGTGCCTCAGTCCTCCTTCACACAATAGGAATAACAGAGATGCCTTTGACAAATGACCTTCCCCTGCCTCGAATGAGACATCTGGGGTAAAGAAGAAATGTGAAAAAGAAAAGTTTTCCAGGCTAGCAGGTTTTGTCAGTTTTCCCCACCTCCACTTTTTTGTAACCAAAATAAAACAAGAATGTCAGCAAGTTCATTATAGACAGAGAGAAAAACTGCTTTCTGGATTTCTGCCAAATAGAATGTATTTGAGGAAAGCAGACACTTTCTGCAAGGAGTTTGTTGAAAATTCTACTTCTTGAGCAGAGATAAAAAGCACTGACAGTGTTTTGATCACACATATTTATACAATAAATAATAAAAATGAGCACATTTCCCATACTGAAGATCAAGGAAGGATATTCAGACAGAAAGGTGAAACTGTTTCAGTTCTTACAAAATTCAGCAACAGTGAAGGAGACATTTTATTAAATATTTGTTACACTTGAATAAAAAACATGTTTAATAATGAACTGGTGTGCATTTAATTAACATAATGATTGCCCAATTAAATCAAAATGAAAATTTAATTTGAGGCACTTTAAGTACAAGGAGATTAAGGAGAGAATATGAATATCCTGAGCCCTTTGTTTTCTGGACTAAGCTTAGAGGTGATATGTGGCAAAGTAGCTCTACCAGAGTTAGCACTTTAAAAAGGGTAATAACATTTTCTTTCACCCATACAAAACAAAAACAAAAAAAAACAAACATGAGACAAGGTAGGAAATTTCCTCTACAATTCAAAAACAAAAAGCAGAATGGAGGTTCTACCATATTTCCATCTCCAAATATGGACTGTATTGTAATCTTTCCTCTTATTTTTGCATGACAACCATATAAACAAAATAGAGCTAGCTTATTAAGGAGGAGAATTTGCTAGATGGGGATTTTCATTTTAAAAACTTTTATTTTAGAACTATAGAACTGTAAGTTTGAGGGGTCTCAACCAATAGGTCACTCTTCCAGGCTCTTGCTCTTCTACCTGTCTCTGTGGTAAGAGACAGGAGAGACTGTGTTCTCTCCTCCTAAGAGCATCTCATCTACATGTGTACCCAGGTAGATGAAGGCATTATCTGGAACATTAAAGGCCACACACTTGTAAGAATGAAAATATTATTACTTAGAATGGGAGGGTTAACAGTCAGCTCAATGTAAGGAACATAATAGTCATTCCCAGTTTATTAGGCAATGATCTTCTTGGCCTAATTGTGAATAAGGTTCTGCTTTTCGTGAACATTCTGTTTTGAGACATGTAGAGCCAGCTGAATGTCAGGAGAGGTCATGGGCAGCTCTTTCCCTGCAGTATCCTGACAATAATCTCATGTTACAATGAGAAATAACATCTTTCCTTTGTGTAAAGACAACCTGTTTATTTGTGTACTGATTAAAGGTCTTGTCTCTATCATTTCTTTTACAGATGCACAGTTTTATTTTAAGATCTGGCCCTCTGCTTTCAGCTGAAGCTGTACCCTAGTCTGGAAAGCAAATGTGTAATCCTGTGTAATGGATCTATTTCTGCAGCATTTGATTTGAATCCCACCTCTCGTGTTCTAGTAAAGCAGAAAAGTTATTCAGCAATGAGAGAAAGATTGAATTCTAAGTTTCCAAATCTTTAGTAAAAAAGTAATCTCATTAAGTAATATTATGAAAAAAAATATATCTGCAATGCCCTTTACAAGTGCAAATAACATTGTTAATTAATACCATTTAGCAACATGACAAAGTGATCTCTACAAAGTAATTTCTTTAAGCTTAAGGTTTAGAAATCACTTTTACTTGGATCCTATTTAAGGTAACGCTTCAGAGTTGAACCTCAGTTACTACCAATGCTCTGCTTTTCCCCATTACTGAGAGAACCACTGGTTTCTGGTGTCTTCTTAGTAAATACAACAATAGACATGTTAATAGACATGTTATAGGCAACATCAAGCACCAATGACAGAGTTAGGTCATTACCTGTTATATTGCAAAAAACCTGAAGTGGTCCAAGTGGTCCACTTCCATCAGAATCGATGTAGAAGAAACCTGATGACTTCCCTTGATGTCGGTAAGCCTCACATGATTGTTCGTAGATAGCTTAAAAGGAGATACAGAGAAATTGTATCACATAAACAAGCAGAAAATATATGACACGTAAGAGCACTGCTTTAGGCACTGTCATAACATAAACTTTTGGTTCACTCCTAGCTAACATGGTAGAGTTTCCTGCATGTGGTCCTCAGCCTGTGCTCAAAATTAGGCACATTTAACTGTATTTAACTAGTTTATTGAATTTAAGTATATGCTGGCTTTAAAAAACATGGGTATAGGTCTTATTTTGCATTAAACTATGTAAATAGTTAAGGAAACAGATATGAACTTTTAAACATGCCCCCATACAGTTAGGGGAGTGATACATGTGAACATCCATGTAATGATATTTCAAAGATATACATGCAAACATACATGATTTACTGCCCGGGCAAATGTTTATGTCTCATCAACATAGAAGACATATTTCTGTCAGTCCCTAGCTTCCCTTTACCACTGTCTACTATCCCAAATTAAAATAAGCCATTATCCCCTAGCAGAAAAGCTCAAGCTCAGATATGGTCTCCATCCTGGGTGACGTCTTTATGCTTTAGAGTTATTTTTATACAACCAACTCTTCCTCTCTGCTTGTCAATATTCTTCTTTTGGAAGATTAGTGCCTAAGAAAATCCATGTGATTAATAAACAAGCACAGCAGGTTGGTAACAGCAATAACTGAAGGAAATCTTTCCACAGGTCAGTGCAATTCCTTGTATTTGAGTCATATTTTCAGGCAAGATACTGTAACTGTCACTTCACATGGGGCAGAGAAGGAAACCCCTTCAGAGAGGGGAGTTATGAGGTATCAGAAAGTCATTGGTATGATCCTGGATCTTGAACAGGAGTGACCTTAAATCCCACTGCAGGAGGACTGATTATTTCCCCAATTTAAAGCACTACCTGATTATACTGATGAGATTATCCATAATAGATTATGATTGTTCAACTAATTGTTAACAAATACAATAAAAATCACAAACTGACTTAGCAGATAAATCAGGACTTCCTTTTTTCTTCCTGTAAGACAGAGTTATTTAGATGAGTGGAAATGCAAGCAAACAGAATAACCCATGCTCTTTCACTAAGCTCTTGAGTGCTACCAGCAGAAAAGCACACAGCATATCTGGGCATTATCTTTGGCTGTTGCAAGGTCAAATCTATCACTTTTCTTAGCCCTTAATTTTATGAGCACATTTTAACCACTATTTGCACATTCATACACCATTATACAGCAAATACAGGACTTATACAGAGTGGGAGATACCCAGGGGAATTTGTGAATATCCCATTTGTTAGCCATTGCATATCTTTTCACAAGCCCCCTCAATTCTTCAAGCTTCAGAGCAGTACAGTTAAATTTGATATAGCATAGTATTTGCTGAGTCAAGGTCATAAATTCAACTGCAAAGTTCCCAGTGTATTTCATCCAGAAGAATCACAAAGAGATTTACATACTGAGCGTAGGCAGAGCATTTTCTCACCACTTTTTAATTGCAGTCCAACCCTCTCCTGAAGGAGGCAGCTATTGTTCTGCACCAGCAGAAATAATTCCCCTTTCCCATCATTGTGCATGCACAAACTAGCATACCTCCATTCCCCAGTTTCCCTAAAAGAAGTTTACCTGATGAAACAAGTTTCAGAAAGACTTAAATGGCCAGTTTGAAGTAGACTTGTTTGACTATTGTCTTGTCTTTCTCATTCTGAAAAAAGCTCTGTGAGAGATGATCACTAACATTTTAATGATATTTGGAGTTCACTCCTGCCAACAAAACAGAACCACCATTCTAGGGTGTTTCTATCGCCACCCTATAAGATTCTTACCAAATCAAACGCTTGTACCACCAGCTGAAATATATTTTTGCCTTGTACACCTCTATCCTGACCGGAGATCTTTTGCAGGCAGAACACCTCTAAGTGCTAGATATGCACAGCATTACCCTTCCCAAAGTTAAGAAGATGCTTAAGGTGCTCAGCACCTGGTAAGATAGTGCTTTAATTAACACCTATGCTATCATAAACAGAATAAAGAAAGCTTCTTCCTCAGAGTCATTAACCTGATGTAAAGAGAACTATAGGAGCCTATGAGATCTGTAAATTCTCCTTCTGAAGGATGGTCAAGAATACAAACTAAATACAAATAAAATTAAATCTCCAAGCCAGAAACTTTTATTTCAGTATTCACGACTGGAGGAGCAAACAGAGAATCCCTCGGTTGCCAAAGCTCTGACAAAAGTAACTGGACTATGGAGGGTCAGGAGAGAAACTGTAACAGGTGATTAAGTGAGCAACCAAGGAATCATAGTTTGATCAATTTGCAAAGTTCTAAAACTCCAGTTCATTTAGTGAATTTGCTTTCATCATCATTACAGGACACTTGATCTTTTCTTGTTATGGATTATGTCAGTTGGTTTCCCTGAATTGTTTGCTAAGTATTTTTGAAAGCAAACCATGGTGTAACATAAAATTAATATGTTGGCATTGAACTGGCACATCCAGAAACTCATTCTTCATCACAAATGTTTTTCTCCTAAGTGTTTTTGCTACATCTTGACTGTCATTTTGGCTGGAATCCGGATACAGTTTTATCCAAATTGATAAGGAAAGATGTGAAGATTGAACCATTAATAATATGGACAGATACAAACAGAGATAGGTAGAGGGCATCTTTATCACTGCATCTTTGGAAACAAGAAAAGGCTGAATAGAGCTAGAATTCAGGCTAAAGGTGCTCAAGTGGCATAAATCTGAAAGGATACACAAGTTTTGTATGCTTTGGTAAAGCTACAGTTATGTCTGCCTGGTGTTCTCCTTTCGGTTATGACAATTCCAGCAGTAGGTATCAGGGAGTAGCAGAAGAAGTAGGAAAAAGCTATAAGCCCCAAGCTCTAGCACATAATGCATATTCTAACTATCACAACATAGAGAATAGACGTTTTGCTGGACAGTTTATTTTGTAGTTGCACACTGAAAGTTTCATACGCCTGTACTTTAAGCAATTGGTACTACACGCTTCTAGACTGGATGGGTCATTGCTTTCAGTTCTCTCTCTCTTTTCTTTCTTTCTGTTTTTTGCTATACAGTGCATCAAGGAGAAAATGATATTTGTTTTTTAGTCACCAGCAGATCCCCCCCAGACATTTCATGTGCACCATCCATTCCAAGCTCTGCTCATTGCTTTTGCAGGCCGAGCTGATTGCAGGTTTCAGAGTGAAGTCACACAGTTCCATTTGTTGAAAAAGGCCTTATTACCCCTGTGACAACAACTTGAAGCTTTCTTACGGTTCAATGGAAGACCACATCTCTTTGTGGTTTTTGCACTTTACGCAATCAGGAATGCCATACAAAAGTAAAAAACAAAACAAAACAAAACAGTCAGCTGTGACTGCTAAGACCCCAGAGCCTTAACTTTTAAAATTGCCTTTAGGTTTACATTCCACCTTGTGCCAAACTTCTCTGAAGTAGATGGAGATACAGTTGTTTTGGGAACAGCAGGAAATCATTAGTCGCCAACTATTTATGAATGTAATAGGGCCTAGCTTTCAAAAAGCAAACAACAATTGTAATTATGAAACTGCTGACAAAGGCACGCATTTTTGTCAAACAACATTTGCAGTAATTACACTTTTTTTTTTTTTAAGTAAAGGAGATCTCAGAGTTCATTCTGAGTAGAACTTGTCAACAATTTTCAGGCATTATGTTTTTAAAAAGTTATTCATTTTGTGAAGAATTTTTAATAATGTTTACTTTCACACCTTCAAGTTTATTTTCACATTTTAAAATGTTCGCTAAAATGGGACTAAAATAACTTAAAATAACATTATTTATAGACTGCTCACTGAAAGCTCATTTTCGCATTAAAATGTTTAACCAAGCAGTTTTTGAATTTTTTTTTTTTTTTCCAAAAATGAAACCTGTAAGTTGCCATTTTTTCCCAAAGGATCAAGATCACTTTTACTTGTCTAATCCTATCTTTTTTTTTCTCTTTTTTTTGACCACTTTTGACTTATATCAACCACTGAAGAGAAAATGATAGCTTTCCAAAGATATTTGCTTCACTGAACCCCAACACAACTTGTGACTTTCATTTCCTGCTGCATTTCCTCAGGCCCTTTTGGGAATGAGATGCACTGCCATGCAGCAATAGCACTGCAATTAAGTTTGTGCAGGCAGCAGAGGCGAATTTGTTTGCTTCATGAAGTTGCATTACACGCAGCTGTAAGAGCTGCTAACAACACATGCAAAACCCCTGCAAGTATGATTCAATATGCTGCAAGAGCCTGCCTGGTTTTAAATATAAACAATTTCATTGCTGTTCAGATCTCTGAAGTATCTGGAACCTGTTAATCCAGCTGTTTTAATTACAGTCCTTAAACCAGAAGAGATTGTATCACCACTGTGATGAAACAACAGCATGTGATGAAATAACAGCACAAACGTTTGCAAGGTCAAACTTCAATTGTTTCCAATAACACGTTTTTATTCAGTTTTTCACTGACAACTCATCATTGTATTGACACTTCCTACCAGTCTCTCTTTTGCCCTTATCAGTTCATCTGCAGTCAGAGTAGGTTTCACTAAACACACATAGATGACTGCTTCTTGTGCAAAGACTTGAACTTCTGCAAATAATCCCCAGGGAACAAAATATTTAAATCCTCCTCTCTTCAATGAAAGAATGAACTTGTTACTCACCAATTACAACTCACCCCCTGGGTGTTGGACTTGATGCAAAGGTTAAAGTGATACCTGGTCTTCGCTTTTACTCCTGGGAGACCAGGCAAGGTAAACCTCTCTCCAGCAGTACACCCAGCAGTATATTTTTTGTATAGATAAAACTGAGATTCTGAACTCCAAATCATGAGAAATTTGTTTGTTGCTTTTTTTTTTTTTTTTTTAATTAACATCTGAGGATTTTGTCACTTTCAAATGCAATGGACATCAACATGATCTTCCTCCAAAAATTAAATTAACTAAAACCAAACCTTAAAATTCGCAGCATTTATTTC